AGACCTGGGGCCACTGAGTCAGGGTCTGTCTGGCAAGATCTTAAGCCACAGCTGCTACAGGTACAGTGAGGCAGAGGGGAAGTTTTGGGGTGAGGGGAAGAAATGACCCAGCTTCTTGCCTCCTTGCATCTTGCAGTGTTCTACTGCTGCTTCCCTTGGTTGAAATTCCACAGAGACAAGTTATCAAGGGAATCTGGAAATATATTCTCCTGTGACACCAAGCAGAGCAGGGGATACAACAAGGAATGGATCTGAGAGCAAGCCGGCAACATGCCAGAACATGAAGCTGTGAAAGGTTTCTTTCCCTCTCATTTAAAAAAAAAAAATCTTCTAAATTCACTTTTATAACATGAAGTTGCTATCTTAAATATTCACAATAAATTTTATTTAGAAAGGCAAATTTAAAACAGTCCCTCTCTCTCTTGAGTTTCAATCACTACAGTGCTCAATGACACTGATTATTCTCAATTACAGTAATTTATTTTCTATAGGTTTTGGTCAATAAAGTCTATAGAGAAATATATTTGAACAGAAACTTCAGAAACTCCCTCTTGGCAGACCAACCAAAGGTCATCCTGAACAAAATGATATACTGTTTAATTTGGTTTGATTTCTATTTGTAAAAGGTGAGCTCAAATGAAAGAAAACTCCTAACATTCCTTGCTGGGCAAGGTGGCACTCACCTATAATCTAGTGGTGGGAGGATTGCAACTTCAAAGCTCACCTCAGCAACTTAGCTAGGCCCTGAGCAAGTTAGTGAGACCCTGTCTCAAAATAAATAAATAGATAAATAAATAGTGCTGGGGATATAGCTCAGTGGTTAAGTGCCCCTGGGTTCAATCTCCAGTACCAACAAACAAACAAAACAAAAAATTCCTACTATTCTTAAACTTGGATTAGAGTTCATTCTTTTCTGATCCTTTCTTCCTACACTTCAATCACCTATTAGAGTTCACTTCCTTCTTTTCTGGTCCTTTCTTCTTACCTTTCATTCACCCTAAATCTAGGTTAATGTTCCTTGTCTTTACATCATTATCTTTAGTGTATTTGAAGTATAATACTTTTAAAAGTTTTTAACATTCTTTTATTCATCAATTCTTTCATTAAGCTACTTGAGAGCAAAGCTAGTATATATGTATACACACAGGTATATTTATGTGTATGTATGTGTATGTGTGTGTACACTATTGCATTTCTGTCATTGATAACTAGCAATAACCAATTCAGGGTCATATACATAATAGGTACTCAATGATTTTAAAAGAATTGATAAATGAACATGTTATTTAATGAAATAGAATTAACAGGTTTCAGCAACTGTTTGGATGTGGGGAGATGGGAACAAGAGGAGTCAAGGCTGTATTTAAGTTATTTATACTTGTTAATCAGAAAAAAATGGTGCTGATAATGTAAATAACAAATAATAGGGTAAGACTTGGTTTTAGAAAAGAACTTTGTGAATCTAGTTTTGGAATCAGAGTTTGTAGTTAAAAATTAGAAGTCATTTGTATGTATGTGATTTATAGAGGAGTTATGATGTGGCAGCTTACATTTTTTTGCAGAAGGCTATAAAAGTATTTCCTCCTATTCTTCATGCTCTTTTGCTACTTTAGTCTTCTTCCCAGAGGTGGAGTCTATGTCCTACCATTGAATCTGGGTGGATCTTTGTGTTTGCCTTGGCCAAGAGCGCATAGCAAAGATGACACTGTGGGACTAAGTCATAAAAAGATATTGCATTGTTAAGTGCTTTGCTTTTGGAACCCAGACACCATACTGTGAGGAATCCCAAGCAAAACCACACTGAGCTCATGGGAACTCATGGTGAACCTCTGAGGCCCTGGGCTCCCAGCCCCTGAGCACCCAGCTGATAGCCTGTATATACTTGTCAGCCACATGACTGATCCATCTTTGATGTGGAGCCTCCAACCTCTACTTAAAATGTTCCAGCTGATGCTGCATGAAGTGGAAATTTGTCATGTCCATCAAGTTCTGACTGAATTGCAGATGTGTAACCAACAGAAATGATTATTATGTGCAGGGTCTCTGTTCTAGTGTCTAAGACTTTGATTCACTTTTTTTGTTCAGGATGAGAGATAAGAGGTTTAATTTCATTTTTCTACATATGGATTTCCAGTTTTGCCAGCACCATTTATTGAATAGGCTATCTTTTCTCCAGTGAATGTTATTGTCACCCTTGTCTAGTATGAGATAACTCTATTTATGTGGGTTTGTCTCAAAGTGGATCAAAGATTTAGGCACTAGAACAGAGACCCTGTGCCTAAGAGAAGAAAAAATAGGCCCAAACCTTTACCATGTTGGCATAGGATCTCACTTCCTTAACAAGACTCCTAAAGCACAAGAAGCAAAATCAAGAATCAATTAATGGAATGAATTTGAATTAAAAAGCCTCTTCCAAGCAAACGAAACAATTAATTACATGAAATGAGAGCCTACAGATTGGGAGAAAATCTTTACCACATGCACCTCCGATAAAGCCATTAATCTCTAGGACATAAAAGGAACTCAAAAAACTGAACACCAAAAAAACAAATCACCCAATCAATAAATGGGCTAAGGAACTGAATCAAACAAACACTTCACAGAAGAAGAAATACAATTGATTGAACAAATATATGAAAAAGTGCTTAACATCTCTAGCAATTAGAGAAATGCAAGTCAAAACTACTCTAAGATTTTATCTCATTCCTGTCAGAAAGGCAATCATCAAGAATATAGGCAATAATAAATGTTGGCAAGGATGTGGTGAAAAAGGTACACTCATACATTGCTGGTGGGACTGAAAATTGGTGCAACCACTATGGAAAGCAGTATGGAGATTTCTCAGAAAACTAGAAATGGAACCACCATTTGACTCCTTGGTTTATACCTAAAGGACTTAAAATCATCATACTATGGTGATGCAGCCACATCAATATTTACAGCAGTTCAATTCACAATAGCTAGACTATGGAACCAACCTAGGTGTCCCTCAATAGATTAATGGATAAAGAAAAGGTGATGTACGTACTCAATGGAATATTACTCAGCTTTAAAGGAGAGTGAAATTATGGCATCTGCCAGTAATGGTTGGAGTTGGAGAATATCATGCTAAGAGAAATAAGCCAATCCCACAAAACTAAAGGCCGAATATTTTCTCTAATATGCAGATGCTGATTCACAATAAGGTGGCGGGGGGCACTAGGGAAGAATAGCATTACCTTAGATTAGTTAGTGGGAAGTGAAGGGAGGTAAGAAGGGGATGTGGGGATAGGAAAGATAGTAGAATGAAACAGACATTATTACTGTATGTATATATGTGACTGCATGACCAGTATGATTATACTCAGAAAAATGAGAAATTATATCCCATCTATGTATGACATATCAAAGTGCATAAATTCATTCTACTGTCATGTATAACTAATTAAAACAAAAAAATTTAAAAAGAAATGATTATTATGGTTCTGAGGAATTATACTCAGGGGATAATTTGTTGCACTGCTATAGACCATTAATATACAAATTGATGGATGAAGCTATCATGAAATTTGTATCAGACAGAGCTGAAGTCAAATTCCTGGTTCTGCTATCATCTTGATTATGGCTTTGGGAATTCTAGCTTAATTGTTGAAACTTCAGTTTTCTTGTATGTAAAATGGGGCTCTCAATGCTCACTGAAAGTGCTGTTACAATAATTAAAAGGGATATTGAATATACAATGTCTAATGTTGTGTTTAATTTCTCTGGTGATTAATATTGATTGGTATTTTCCAAAGATGAGGAAGTTGTAGCTTTGTGAATTCTCTAAAGAAAGAATAAAAATGGAGAAGAACAGATGATTAGCCACTTAGATGTGAATAGGAAAAGATGACTTGGGAAAAAAAAGTTGGTGAGGGAACAGTCAGGAAAGGAGGAAGAATCAAGACTGAGTGGCCTATTGAGAAGATTTGAGTGAGATAAGGGACAGAGGTTGATGAAGATCAAGGATATAGAAAGACATTGATTTCTGCAGTGGAGAAGTGACTAATGACACATAATGATATAGTATCAACAGAGCAGGAAGTTGAAAGCCTGAATGCTGAAGGAGAGGTGAAAAGCAACAATGAGTCTGGGCACATGTGGTATTCTTAAAGAATAAGAGAGTACTGTTATGTTAAAATGATATATTATCCCTGATTACAATTTCAGTTTCCCACACTATAGCGCCCTCTCCAGGTAGACCTTGTAAACTCATCACCCACACCCTACTGGTTTTCCCTACAAGTTCATTTATTAAGTTTCTATGAATATTTGTTCTTTTGTGTTTCATATTTACATTTAAATTCCCCATTTCCCAAAAAGTCTCATATATAATTATTTACTGTAGTTCCAAATATTTCTAATATCCTGGTTCCAAAATGATAAGCAAAATATAAAGGACAAAATGACTAGAAGACTAGTGGCCATATCTAGAAAGATGAGATCTACCATTTAATAGATGAAGTTGAAAGCATATCTTATAAAAATATAGAGAGTTTCCCACCTTCATTTGCTTATCTGACACTTTTAGCATACATTTAAATAGTCAGAAGATGTCCACTGTTACCTTTGAGCTGAATGCAATTCTAAGTCCCTCATTTATAAAATGAGACTCAGAGAAGGTCATTGTGCAAAGTTAAAGTTATTCACCTTTCCATAACAGGTCAGTGAGATCTACACACATATTTCATCATACTAAGTCCTTTTTGAAAACCTAGTTTCCAGATAAACTATTCTTATTTTACTCTTTGAAGACTAAATTTTCCAAGATGAGATGCAAAGTCATTTCTAAGCCTTCACATAAAAGGTTTTTAATATTCATTCTCAAACATTTATTTAGTTCCCATCATGTACAAGACACTGCATTAGGTGGGTCTTCTAAAATATGCTATATGAGGGAATGAAAAATAATTTCTGGTTTAAAAAGCCAAATTATGAAAATGTAATATTTATTCAGCACTTGTAAGATAAAAGGTACTCACCAACGCACCTCCTCTGCAAGCTCCACACCTCCCTGAAATCTCTGGTTTGCTCAGCAGAAACAGGGCTGCTGCTAGTGAGTCAGGAGTTTACCCCTTGACAGCTTGGTACCACGAATGTTAATTCTGACCAGCCATATCTAGGACCTGAGAGAGAGTTCTGAAGTTGAGCTGAACATGGCTGGTGAATGGATGGTGACCCTAGTGAGCTCATAGAGGCAGGAGAAGGAGCTGTCCATGGTTGCCCCTCAGAATTCTCCCCTCCACAGGGAGCCATGGGGACTGAGACCTGGGATACGGTGTAAAGGGCTGAGATGGATGCAAAATTCACCTGGGGAAAGTAACAACTCCTCCTCCTCCTCCCCTTCCTCCTTCTCCTCCTTCTTCTCTTCTTCTTGATTTAAATTCAAGTGTGTACAGTGTTTTATTTTTAAAGATGTTCACCAGGGGGTTTCTGGATGGTCTGAAGGCAGTTAGAGGAAGCTAAGACTAAAATATTTCTTTCTTTTACCCTCGGGTGGTGGGGGTAGGGGCAGCTGACTGTCTGCAGGGCACATTCCCATCCTGCTCTGATGGAATGGATTGGTGTGCTTGATGCCAGTGTTCAGAAATAGGAAGACCATTGGCTTTCAGATACAGACTATAGAGGTAACCCAGACTTTGTCTGTTAATATAAGGGATATTTTGGTCCTGCATATTCTTTGACCTTATTTCTCACTTTAAGAACTTGGGTGAGTTATTTATTAGTTGCCCTATAGGATACACAGGGAAAGTCCTCTGGCTGCTGGAACCCTAGTGTGAGTACTTTGTATTGCCTTTGCTATTTCCAGGGCTCTCATCATATTTTGTAACAAGCTTATGTACTTTTATTGCTGTGGTTTGCAAGGCAGAGGCCATGGTATGTTTTATCCTTGTAGCTCAAGGATCCTAGTAAATAAAGTAAACATGAAGCAAAGAGGCCTAGGAAGGCAGCTAGGAACCCAAACTGGGAGACCCAAATCAAAGTGGAAGGCACAGGGGTGATCAAAATAGAGTACAGGAAGTGCATCCCTCCAACTGAACTTTCAGAAGCACTAATCAAGTCTTAGAACGAGCTCAGCAAAGCTCACAATCTGTACAAAATTCAGGAAGTCAAATGAGTCATCATCTCACCAAGGCAGAATTGCTCCAATATTGCCTGGGCAGAATGTGACTGCACTTTAAAATATCCTGGAATTTTTTTCACATGAACCAGAAATTAAAGTTCAGAATCCTTAGGAACTTTTGTGTTTATAAAGAACACCTATAATTTTGGTCATCTCTTCAAGAAACATGTATGTTTGAAAAAGTGAAGAGTGGTAGATATCTACCCCAAACATTGCCTAGAACAAATATAAGGGTTCCTGGTTGAATTTGAATAACTTGTATTCTTAGGTGTGTGGTATCAGCAAAGCTGTAGAAACCTAGAACTAAGTTTGGCTTTTGTAGCTCATCACCCAAAGGAAGTTAGTCACATCTTCTCTCATCTTCACTCTGCTGCTTCTCTTTTGAAGTGGACTGATGTGGAATACGAAGAAAGATGCCCTCAGTGTCTGAGAAGAAAGAGGTCCTTCATCTGAAGATGAGGCACTAAAGTCAGGATGTTTGGAATGGTGTCTGAGCTCCCAGCCAGTCTCCGAAAGTCATACTATCTGAAATCCCTTGGAGTTTCTTTCCCGAGAACAACCACTATGGTCTATTTATTGGTTTCAGTTGCTATGAAATGACCATACTGCAGAAGTGAGGCTGTTACCCTTAGCTACACGTTTCTTTGGGGGAATAATTGTGAATCACACAAATCAGCAGCTGGGCAAGGCACAGACCCTGATTATATATTTTCCCAGTGCTAACCTCCTTTTGTAATAAATTGTGGCTTTTGCTGCTTAGAAGTAATCAAAGGAGAAGGTCTGACGTTACCACTGGCCTCTTCTCTTTCAGGTAGGAATTTGCTTATGTATATTAAGCTTTTCTAAGGAGTGTCAGTTAAAATAATCAGAATGGCCTGAGTAATCTCTTTCCTGATTGTATTATCTGCCTCACAGGGATGTTGAGGGGACTCCAGGGGCACACTTAATAGATTGGAGTCAGTGTTATTAGAATTGTTTGCTCTTATTATTAGCCTGTAGAAGAGAAGACTTGAGAGGGCTGGTATTTGTCTTCAAATTATGAGTGTTTTTGTTTCATCCCCTTCCCTTATCTCCCATCTCATGCTATCTTCTCCCATTTCATTGGCTCCCCAGACTAGATGCATTCAGACTAACTGCTGAGTACATTTCTATATTAAATTTTATTTTCTATCTTCTGGCACTGTTAACTTCATGATCTCTTCTTTGTTTTATGTTTCATCTTCCATTTTGAGAGTAATCTGCAAGTTTTGATGTTTACTTTCAATATAGATAAATTCTTAATATATGCAACTTTCCATTATGCACCAACAAGATGTTGGGTGTGGGAATGTCTCTATGTGTCTTCTACCCTGAATCCATTTGCAGTTCTTTGTCTCTTTTTCTTAAGGCAGTTTCCAAATGTACCCATGTCTGCTGACGTTTGAAAAGGCAGTAAAATTAAAGCTACGTAATTATGAATACTATGAAAGAGGTTTTGACAACTTTTGGTGGCACTTAATTCAAGTTAAACTCCTCTCATTCAAAATAATAAGCATAATGTTACTTATTATGTAAATGAGGTGGCAAGGCAGATGTTTTGCATCCTGCTGTAGTCAGTAGGGATTAATGCATACAAAGCTGAGTAGGAGGGGCCAGCATTCAACCTGGGAACATGAATAAGTGCTAAGTAAGAGGAAGAATGATTCCTTTGGACCTGTGTGTTTAATACTTGAGCCACTAACCACATGAAGCTATTTAAAGTTAAGTCAATCAAAATGAAATAAAAGTAAAATATAGTTTCTCAGTTATATTAGCCATAATTCATGTGTTCAAAGCCACATGTGGCTGGTGACTCCTTGCTGCAGAGCACATTGCAGGAAGTTCGATTGGACAGTGGTGCTAAAGATAGAAAGGTTAAAATAGAATGAAGAATGTTTGTAGGTTTTTCTTATGAACTGGAACTTTAGCTATGAAGGTTCTACAAGGTTCTCAGAATGGGAATAGGTCCATAAAGAATGGAGAGATATCGGAGTTAGGATCAGGTTGCTAGTGTCATCTCTGCCAGAAATACAATTGAGCTGTGTTTCTCAAACTTTAAAGATGCACACATCTCACCTGGGATTTAAAAGGCTGATACTGTTAAATGGGGCTGGAGTGGAGCCTAGGAGTTAGTGTTCATAATCAGTGCGAAACTGATGCAGATGCTACTGGACTGTGAACTACACTTTGGGCAATAAGATGCTAAAGCCCTTAGTAGCAGTTCCCTGTTTTATAGGGATGTCCCCTGAGTTGCCTAACTCATGAAGGAAACTTTTGTCATTGCAGGCTGGTACCAGGGCACATTTCATAGCCAACACAAACTGAGATTCAGTTTTACATCAGATTCGGGCTACAGAGAGCAGAAGCTGCTATCATGTTATCAAGAAGAAAAAAATAAAGGTGGCACATCTGAAAATATTGAGTACACTAATTTGAATCTGTGATAATTGGGCTGGTACTCTAGTTTACCTTTCCAGGCACTCCATTTTTTAAAGATTAAGGAAGGATTTTTTTTAACTAGTATAGAAGAAACTCCTGCTCCATGGAAACAAATTTGCATACATAAAAATACAGTCTATAGAGAATTTTCAAACCCTGTCTGCACAACTGGAACCACGTAGGGGAACTTTCCAACCAAGTTAGCTTTCACCATCTAAGATTTTTATTTAATTGATGGGGGAGGGGGACATCAGTATTTTTTGACCACTCCCCTGCGACTTTTAACATGCAGTCAGTCATAGAAAAACTTTGATCACAGCAGAGTTTGTTAAACCTAAGCACCCATAACCATAACACTGGATTATAGCACAGATTGCTAGACTCCATCCCCAGAGTTTCTGATTGGCAAGTAGGTCTTGGGTGGAACACTAGAGTTTATGTTTCTCTCTTCTTGGGGGTGTATGTGTATGCTGGGGATTAAACCCAGGGCCTTGTACTTACAAGTCAAGCACTCTACCAACGGAACTATATCCCCAGCCCTAGAGTTTACATTTCTAACAAGTTCTCAAGTGCTGCTGTTGAACACAAATGGCGAATCAGCCTGATTCTCAGTCTTGGCTACACTTTGTAATTACCTGGAGAGGTTTGAAAACTTCTGATGCTTACATCCCACCTTCAGAGATTCAGATGTAATTTATTTAGTGTTTAGACGGTACTGCAGATTGTTAAAAGTTCAACACGTGATTGAAAATTGAGAACCACTGATGGAAATAAAGCAAATCTTGTAGTTCCAAAGACCAAAAGCACCAGATTCACATGGATGTTTGTTAGAAATGAAGTCTCAGACCCAACCCCAGACCTGCTGAATCCTAATCTGCATTTTGATGACTTTCTCCAGGTGATTTCAGGTACATGCCAGATAAGAATTACTGTACCAGATAGACTTTTACAGTAAGTTTATGGCTTGTTGTGAAGAGAATTTCTTTAAAGAAAGAATTCTGATATTTCCTAAAGCTTTGGGGAGCAAATAACTTAGTCCAAACTTACCCGAAACTGTTAAAGTTTTATATATATATATCATTGCACAGACACAAAATTGTTTATTTCTGCTTACACTTTTACAGAAGACATTGCTTATCCCAGCACAGGAAACTGTGGGCTTTCAAGTTTCAAGTAGAAGGCCAAGAGTAAGTTTCCCACATGTTTGCATTAAATTTATTATTTGAGACAAAATGCTTATACTAGGTTAATGCATTTTGATTGTAGACAACTGTACACTTCTCATTCAGTGCCAGATATGTACAATATAGATATATTGTTTACTTGTGAAACTTTTCATTAAGCATTTCATTAAGTAAGACCCTGGAGGATGGAGGAGTTGGATGGGGAATATTAATGTCTTGAGGGAAAGAAGTTGCTACTTTGTGTTTTCTGGGTAGTATTTAGGGTAATAGTGAGAGCCAAAGATAATTACAATGTAGAAAGACCAATCCTGTGATATGATAGAGCAGTATTTCTTAAACTCAAGGAGGTAGGAATCACTCAGAGATTTGGTGAAACACAGGATCTGATTCAGTAGATCTGTGCTGGGGATTAAAGCTGCATTTCCAACAAATTCCTAGGTGTTGGGACACTTGGAGTACAGGGACCATACTTTGAGTAGCAAGGAATTAGACTGACTACACTCCCAGGCTGCTTCTTTGTATAATGTCTTCTTGGTGACTCAAAAAATCAAGTACCCTGGTATAAATAAAAAGAAGGGTGAATTTGTTAAAATCTGCTTATTTTTTAATTTGAGTCATTTGAAAAAGAGAAAGCAAAAAGTCAAAATTATTCTAGACCCATCATTAATGGAAAGTTAATGGGGATATGAAGTCATTTAAGGCAACTACAAAATAGTAACACAAATACCTCAGATGACTAGTAGGGCAAAATTTTCAAAATGTTGCAAGCTGTCTGTATGCCTGAAGTAGCAATTTACATGCATAATTAGGTGCAATCAACAGTTTTGAAATGTAATATATTTTCTGAGTCCATATTTACTTATGACAGATGCTAAAAAAAATCTGTGTCCCCAAGAAAATAGAGGGGCAGAAGAAAGAAAAATATTTGCATTTAACAATAGGAATCTTTAAAAGCATATGCCTAAATTTAGAACAAACTTAGTTGAAAGTATTTTATCTTTTTTTTTTAATTTAATCTTCATTTAAGCCTTGAAAGAAGTTCACAAACACATTTTGGAAGTAACAAG